CAACCTTCCTTTTTTCCCTCCTTTTTTTTTTCCAAAGGTCGAAAAATCCGATGGTAACTTTTTGGCCATTCTCTCGATCGAATCGGTTATGGGGGAAATTGAATAAAACTCTTTTGTGTCTGGCCGACGAAACGGCGGGGCAGGTTTCTTTCATGGTTGAAAGTGCGTTAAACGAATAATCCGCGCTCCACCAGCCTCGTGACACTCTAATGGAAAATTTTGCTTCGCGAGTGTATGAAACCTGTTACGTATTTGCGAAATGTTAAAATTGCGTGTGGTGAGGCAAAAAAAAAAAAAGAAAAAAAAGATAAAAGGATGGGATATCCTGTGAAAGCTATATGGAAATGATGGAAGTAAAAACGGTGTAAATGAATTATCTATGAAACTGGATTGGAAAAGTTATTCGATACGAAAGTGTTAACATTGGAATGTAGAATTTTCCACAAAATTCTATTGTGGAAATGTTAATCTTGCTTTTATGTATCATAACCGTCAGAAATTTATTTATTACTTTTTTCGTCATTGGATTGTCTCTTATTTTCAACAGAATACATTCGATAAATAATTTGCACACATTTATGTCTCGATCTCTGGACAAAGACGCGAAAAAAAGGAAATAAATAGAAAAAAAGAAAAAAAAAAATAAACGATTCGATCGAGCTTTTTCCATAAAAAGCAAACTCGAATGGAAAAAGACTGGCCGCGGAATAATGCACACGCATTCCGCCGTTAAAAGCCATTCCGAATAATCGGCGCAATTAAAAATGCATTGGCCGCGTAATCCCCTTTCAAACGGGCGGAGAAAGATATAACCACTTGTAAAATCGATCCTGCATTGCAGATCCGTGCTTCTCGCGCGAGGAATCTCTTTCGAATCGATCCTCTCGTCGTTCTTCCACGCGACGCCGTGTTTCTCCGACAAACTTTTAATTGCGTTCCACGGAATGGAAGGATCAGGAGAGTCGAGACGAAGAAATTGGAGTAGTCCAATTTCGTGGGAATGGAAATCGAGTGACCAAGGAAACGGGAAATGATGTTATTTTCGTCAAATATTTTCAAAGTCTTTGACGAGTGCGAAAGATCCAATATCGAAGAGGCATAACTAAAACCAAGAAAAAGCTTCTAACGAATATCTTCTCCTTTCTTCTGCACAGTTTAAACTGAAGAACGTACTATTCAGTGATGGAAAGAAGAGAAAAAAACGTCCATTTACGCGCACATTTTTATTTAGCGTAGTATTTGTCACATATACTAATCCGATTGTGACAGAGAGAGAGAATAAAACGACGATCCGTATCTAAACCTCGCATTGTATTAGCGTAGAATTCAGAGTATCGATATAAAAGTTTTTTTATTTCTCATAATACGCTTATAAATGTAATAAACTAAACATAGATATATCATAGATATATTAATATCACATCAAAATAATTAATAGTTTCTTTATGAAAATGAAAATAATTCTTCTACTATGTAGTGTATGGATAGATGTCAGGATAGTCAACAGCGTCTGAAGTGGGGATAGAAGGTCCTAGCGAAGGATACCTCTTGCCCCTGTGCCTCTCGCGAAACTTTTTTAGCAGTGAGAAGCAGTGAACGGTAAGTAAGTAAATAAGAAAAAAGCGCGGTAAATAAGACTAAACGAAAGAGATATGGGTTTAGGCAGCAGGCCAATGAGTTCGTAAGCATCGATGAAAATGCTAATCTGTCGTTAGTCCCGCTCCATGGAGCGTGTAAATCGTTCGAGTTGTAAAATTCCCCGTGCGACCTCGATGACGCTGTTTTATCGGTCGCGCTTTCGGAATAAATCAGACTCGCGTGTCACCGATGTTTTTCCTTATACAATCCAGTGTTCCGCTTTCATCGCATTCTCACGTCCAAAGGACGACAGATCACGAATTTTCCGATATTCAATTTTTATTTAAGAAATGATTTTTATTTAAGAAACGATTTTTATTAAGAATATATATATATATATATATATATATATATAGGATAGGATTCGTAAACTTCGGGCGTTGTTTCGAAATGCCAAGTATCAATTGTACGCGTATTACAGGCCAAGGAAAATTCACTCGTAATGATAGAAGAAGCAGTTAACCTACTAGAAATATCGCTGTGTTCCACGAAGGAATTGCGATTATTATTATTCTTCGAATCGACTGGCACGGGTATTATTTATTTAACAATGTCAAACGACCTCTTAATAACCTGTTTTCGAACAAAGGGTTTTTGCTTTTATCGCGCACGTGAAAAATATCCCCGGTGTCGCTTTATTCGTGAAACTAACGTATAATAATGCGTTAACGCGTTAATCCATATTTTAACGTTTGCGTGTTCGAGAGAAATTCATTGCAAAATCTCAAACGTTCGAACCTCGACTACGTTCGATTCCACGATTTATCTGTCGCGAATTTTCTTCGAGTTAACAATAACTCGGAGATTGCATGCGGAGAAGAACATCTGGTGTGGAAGAAATAAAACTATCGTATCGAAGATTGGACACGAGGCTTATTAATATACGTATTAGATTATTTATTTCAAGCTTATTTCTCGAAACCGTTCGTTCGTTCGTTCGTTCGCTTGCTCGCTCGCTCGCTCTCGCCATGATTCCTCGATACGAGTCGTTCAAAGTGCATCATCGCAACGACGCCCTTGGCGCGGCAATACACCGCTACAAGTCCGCCGCGAAATTTATAGCGTCTATTCGTTCCGACCACGCGCTCTCTGATTTTTTCCCACTGGATCGGATAGCATGCATTTTCCATTTCGTAGCCAACGTGTCGATCATCCGGCAGAAAGAGTGGACGCGCGACGATTGATCGACGCCTATCTAACCACTCGATATCCACGAGCCAAAGAACCGGAGGAGATATAAGATACAAGTTCCATTATTATTATTTCTTTTTTTTTTTTTTTTTANTTTTTTTTTTTTTTTAATGAAATATAATTTTTTTATTTCGAAATTAATATACTCGTGAAAAGGGAAATATAGAAATTAAGCGAATAATAAAAAATTAAGCTTCGTAAATTATTTTTCTAAATATAATCGCTCGTTTCTCTCCTTTCCTACAAATTAGAACGATTTAACGCGTCAACTGTGGCGTGTATAAGAGGACGTGATAAAGGATGTGAAAGGAAGTAACGACGCGAGAAATAAGCGGGAAGTATTGTACGTGTCGTGCGTTTCACACGCGTATAACGTATAAACGTAAGTACATTCCATTCGTTGAAACGTAGCTACACCGGCAAAGAATTTCAGAAATGTTATATACGCGTTCAACGTGCCTCGCGGCCTATCTTTTCTTCACTCTGCCGAGCGCGACAAACGTTCGAGTGAGTTGTCTACCGTTTTTCGTTGCAACAAAGAAATCGCGATTCAATTACTTGTCCCCTTGTTCTTACGAATCAAATATAAAAAAAGAAAAAAAAAAGCGAATACGAAACTTCAAATGTCTCACAGGATAAGATATTATTTGATTTTCGTCATAATTGCGTCAAAAAATGTTTCTCGTTCAAAAAAATACGCACAAAAAAAATATTAACCTTTACTTATACATTTTAACTTAAAATTCGTTAAATTAATCGAAAAAAAAAAATTGGAAAGAATATCGAATTATCCTTTACAAATTTATCTTAAAAGGAAACTATTAACGTGAAAATATTTTTATTGGTACTTCTTTGTATACGGAGAATATGGCGTGAAACGAACAATGTTAGCGCCGCGAAAACTCGTGTGAATCGGAAGGGTGAGTAACGTGTATAAGATCCTTTCGAGAGTTTTGGTCAGGCGTACACGCCTACTTCGAGTGGAGGGGGAAGCTTCATTGCCTAAATTCGAGGTTAAACCGAAGCCAGTTTCCGAGGAAAGTTCTCGCGATTATTTATACGAAACACGCTCTAATCCGCGGAGGGAATTTCATATATATCGTGGCCACAAATTGCTTCTGTCCGTTTGCCTTTGGTAAATAAAAAGAAAACACACACACACAAATTTATGGAAATACACGTATAATGGCGCCCTTCCTTCGCCGCCTAATATCAATAACAACGGAAACAAAAATATATATCGTGAAACCGGGTATGGAGATACGATCGATGAGAATCGAGGTGGACCGAGGAGAAAAGAAATCGAAAGAATCCGGCGCCGTTTATTTCACTCCCCTTCTCCCACTCTCACTGCAATCCTTGCCTTCGTTTATTCCAACGATTCCAACCTTCGAATATTCTGGGTAAACCGGCCACTCTTCGATCGAGGAATTTTTTTTTAAAGAGGAAAAAAATATTCGCTCTATTCTTCGTTTCCTCCGTACGTGAAAACAATTCGCAAAAGGTGAACGTTCTATCGATCGACATGATTGTTGCTAAAGTTATCAGCTGTACTGTTCACTGCTGGAAAGAAATCTCGCGAAAGGAATGCGGGTATTTATCACATGTACTAATCCAAAACAAAATACTAATCTAAATCTTGATGATTATTATTATAGGTAGAATATTCTAACGATCTATCTATATAATATAAAAATTAGTAACGATAGTTTAATTTATAAATAGTCGAAAATATTTCAGCTTCCAATTTTGGATGATTATTCTAACGTAATTTCATAAATGAAAATAAATTTTACGATTTTGAATAGCTCTTCTACTATTATGTAGCGTATGGTCTCAGAACTGTCAATAAAGCGTCTGAAATAGAGATAGGCAGTCCTAGCAAAGGACCCCTCTTGCCCCTGTGCCGTCCCGCAAGACTTTTTTTCACCGTGAACAGTAGAGTACGTGATCGCTCACGGAACGCTCTCGTTTATAACGTATATGGTATCGAGAAGCAAAGAACGATTCGAAAACGAAAAAAGTTTTTCAACGATTCATTCGTCGTTTATTTTATTGAGTCGCTTCAACGCGTTCGTTATATATCCATTTAATCATTCTGCATCGATAGCGAAACGGAAAAGATGAAAGAAATAGAGATAGAAAGATTAGAAATCAGTTTGGATACTCACCTTTTCCTCGAGCGCCGGTCCGTCTGTCATTGCGTGCATAATGGCGTCCGAAATGCGGGTGTCCAATTGTCTGACAGCCCTCTCGGCATTCAGGCCCAACGGATCGTTACGACCGTCGACCGCCACTACGAGCCTCTCCACTGTTTCCACGTACCCGGACCAAGCCAGGTCCAGCTCGGATGCTGGTTGCGTCAGGCAACCTCTGCACGCACAATTCGATCAATTGATACGTTTCCAAGTATTTTTTATTTTGCGAATTGCGATTTTTATTTTTTAAAAATACGAACATTTTACGGATATTTTGTTTTTTATTTCTATCTCGTTTCTCATCCTTTCTCGCGATTCTCAATAGATTAAGGGAATACGAATACGAACGTAAAAAAAAAAAAGGGGGTAAAATTGGAAAAGTTAAAATTAACCTTGAAGTTAAATCGACCAGACAGTTGGAGATATTTGTGCGAATAGCAGGCCATACGCGCACGAGGGAACGCCTCGTCAAAGGCCATAAAAGAAAGTGAAAGTAACCGAACTCGACGTAGAATATAAAGCGGCTCGTTAAGGTTAAAAGAAACGTAGAGGAAAAGAAAGAAAGCGCGTCTATACTTTTCATTCGCGAATTTGACGAAATCTACGAATTAACGAATCCAAAGGATTAAAAAATTTAAAAAAAAAAAAAAAAGAACAGAATTTCAAAAAAACTCAAAACGAACTGTATAAACTGTATAAACTCTTTTACGCGATAAATTAAACGCGCAATATTCTTATGCAAGGAATTAAGCGTGCGTGACATTTTATTTTACGCTTGAGCGAACTCGAAATTAATCTGCGCCACGTTCGCAAGTGGAATTCATTTTCGACTTTAGATGGTTTTCAACGCGATACCACGAAATTCTAGTAATTACTACTAGTCGAACATAGAGTATTTTAACCACAAATGAATTTACACATCCACAAATGAATTTACACATCCACATTTACGCGAAATAGCCACGTAATAACTGAACCGAAATTTAAACTTAACGATTGAAAGAGAAAAAGAAGAAAAAGAGGAAGAAGAAGAATCGACGCGTATCCCGTGTAATTGGCAGCACCGTGGGCGTGCTGCGTTTTTAAAATCGCGCGTGAAAGGTGAAACGATTCCCACAGGTTTCGGGGCTAACGACTAATGCGATTGAAAATTAGAAGAAGGGGCCGGTGAATAGAGTGGCGCGAGCCGTGGATAATTAGTGGGATACGAGGGTGGTCACCTCATGACATTGGTGCAGAATCCACTGCAGGGCCTGACGGAGGGGCCGATGCCCTTGCACCTTGGACAATAGGTCATCCTGAGCAGTGCGGCGTAGCAGGCCTCCTGCTGGGGGCTTGTGCCGGAAAATAGTACGCTGTCGGTCCTGTCCAGCACCGTTTTGCCGAGAGTCAACGCCTGGACCAGGACCCGGGTCGCCTCCAGGCTTTTGCTCACCGATTTCGAGACCTGGATCGGTATGTCGCCGAACGGTTGGATCTGTTCCATCGTCTCGTACAGGCACGTCTTAAATTTCTCCGTGAAATCTTGCTCGTATTGGCGAGGATTCACGGCTCCGTGATACGCGATCGGGAACAATTTGGCGAAGAACTCGATGAACCTTTCTTGAAGCATGTCCCTTGTCAGCGGTTGCTGCAAACTGTCCGGCGTGTTGCTCGGTGACACGTAATCGACCATCGCCTGATACAGAGCTTTTATCGAGGGCCTGCTCGATACCGCCATCGTCCGATACACTTGATCGAACAGGGTTAAGGTTTTGTTCTCCGACTGTCTCGCGAGCATCGTCACTGTTTCTGTAAAACGAAAAAAAAAAATTCAATCAATTAAAAAATAGTAAAAAGATATATAGATATATAGATAATCGTTTTCAAAATTTCGAATTAACTTTCGACGAATTTTATTCGTTTCGAACGTAACGTACGAACACGTTATATTCTCTCGACGAAAAGAAAGAAATATCCAGAGCTATTAGAGAGAGAGAGAGAGAGAGAAGGCGTCGAAGAATAATGGACTCGGGTCCGCGCGATGCAAAACGAGGAGGAACCAGGCTTCGGACGATGACTAACGTAAGAACAAATTGCCCACGCACTCGGACCTACTAACATTCCTTTAGTCTTCCTTCTCCTCCTCTTTCCCGATCAGACTGCGATCCGGCTCTCGAAATACCTCTTCGTGAAGGAGGAAATGGCCGGTAAAATAACGGCCATTGGAAGAGGACGGAGAAACGAAGGATAGAAGGAAAGAGGAACACGCGTGGAAAGGAAAAAAGGAAGAGATGTCTGCTGCACCTTCTTCTTATCGTCTTCCTCTTCCACTCTTTCTTTCCGAAGTCTTGTTTTACTTTCTCTCTTTCTCTTTCTCTATCTCTCTCTTATTATGGAACGGTCGGTCGACACGGCGCGTCTCGTCCTGAGGCACTTGAGGCCATTCCGCGGCACAGAGTAGAAAGAGAGAGAGAGAGAGAGAGAGAGAGTCGACATTCCTCTCGCCGGTCATTTTATTTTAGCGCCACCGTGTGGGAGAGAGCCCTTTTATCTCTCTCTCTCTCTCTCTTTTTCTCTGCCGTTCTCCGCTCGCTCGTTTCACAGGGCCCTGTGTGCCATCTTTCTCCTTGTCCCACGCACCACCGCGCCTCTCTTTGGATTTTGCGCGCCTCGGCAGCCTTTTCCCTCTTTCTCCCTCTCTCGCCCGTGGATGGACGACGACGCTGCCGGTGTGTGCTCCTCGCACGCTACCCGATGGTGGCCATGTTGCGGACCACGGAGGGGGTGCAAAAGGTACGTCGTGGGAACTGTACCACGCAACCGTCTCGGACCCAACTAAATTTTAACCGCTTCTGCCGCTTTATTTTCTTCTCTTAATTCTCTTTCATTAATCGATTTAATTTCCTTATTTTTTTTTCCCAGAGAAACGCACTGTTCACCGGTGGAAAGGAAAAGTCATACATACTGTGATTCAAAACGACATGTATCTATAAAGAATCCAAAGTGTTCTATAAACGTATCGATGTAATATACAAAAATTTTATTATTTCTCGTATATATGCGTAAGCTAATTACAATTTGTAACGATAGTTTAATTTATAAACGTAGTTAAGATAATTGTAATGTATACGAATACGTTATACATATCTTAACGTAACTTAATATTCAAATCATAACTCTTCTACTATTATGTAGTTGTGTCAGCAAGATTGTCAACAAAGACTTTTTTCCACCAATGAACAGTAAATGCGCATAAGCGAGGCGTAAAATCGTGTTGATTTTTGCAATTGGCAAGTTGTATCAAAGTTGTTGGTCCGATACGGGATTGACCTACGCCCTGCCATACGTATATCGCGAGATACGAGATACGTGTATCGCGCACACTTGGACATAATATATGCGCGTTATACGGTGACGTTAGACAATTAGAGTGGATTCACACACGTCCACGTTGCGTCCGGTCCACATTTCTTGCTCGGCGAGGCGCACGCGCAAGGGGAATTCGCTGGATAGCGCGAATAAGAATAGAATAAACGGTCACGTTCGAAACTTGTGAAACGGGAGGGGGGAAGATTTTAGAGAATAAATCGAGCATTAAGGTCGAGGGTAATGCCGCGTGTCTAATGTAACTACGTTCTTCCTCTTCGCGAATCTTGTTTGGAAAATGTCAAAGGTATTAAAGTTCGAAGAATAAAGTTGATTGAATAGGCATACTATACGATAAAAAAGAATGGCGAAAAGAGGGAATTATAATTATTACCGAAATGATCCGTGGCCTCTTAACGGTAGAGACTACTTGATCGCGATTATTATTGAGTTAATTAATTATCCATTATCGTAGCCCGACGAAAATCTAATTTCCGTCCCCATTAGAGGGCTGCTCTCTCTCTCTTTCTCTCTCTCTCTCTCTCTCTCTCTCTCTCTCTGTGCATCACTCGATAAGATTAAAATTAATAGGATTACTTACTCGATGCATTTTCGTGGCCATCTTACGAAGAATCGCGGTAAAAAATTCTCGGTGAAAAAGAAACGAGTCTGAAAAGACGAAATCGATGCTAATTAATTCGTCGTGTATGGAAAAACGCGAAACCTGTTCCTTCCGGCCAACCCACCCGGATCGACACCCACGCCAGCTTCTTCGGAGGAGCTGACTCGACTTCCTTTCCCTGGGTCGAACGAATCACGAAACACGCGTGACCCGCGATAAATATCTTGCGGTGGGAAACGTTTGCGTTTTCCGCGAGTCGATCGAAAATAGAACGCGCGAGCCGGAGAGAACCGAACGCCTAGAGAGACACTGCTAGAGGTTGCCGAGGCAACGACACGCGCGGACATCCCACTTTCGTCACCAAGATTCTCCGCCTCGTTTCTTCAAACTCGCCTCGTTTTTTTTTTCTTTTTCTTTTCTTTCTTCTTTCTTTTAACGTGAATTACCAAAAAGTGGAATAATCCTCGAAAACTTGGATTCCCGTTCATTTAAAGGCGACTCCTCGTTTTACGTTTAACGTTCTCGAGGAGACGCGCGCGCGCACGTAGCGTAACGAACGATATTCGACTGGGGACGAAGTCGTGCGGCACGAAAATCACAGAGATAGGCGAAATAACGGAGAATCTCTCGCCGCTCTCTCTCTCTCTATTTCGCACCGCTAAAGGGGTTAACCTGTATAAACATGCACGCTGTATATATATCCACCCACATCGGTTCGATTTTCTCCAAGTTTCGAGCTCTGACTTTCAGAGGCCAGACCACGGGTTGTGCGGTTTACTAAATATTTCCTCTTCGTTTTATCCTCCACCGTGTAAATATGTCGGTGTATATTTCGATTTTTCTTTTTCTGTTTTCTTTTCTTTTTTCTTTAGTTTTCGCATCTTCACATGGAAAAAACATGGAGGAGGAGGAGGAGGGAAATTTATCGCGTGTTAAAGAAAAGCCAATGATTCTATTTTTCGTTTTCACGTCCTCTCTCGCGATTCGGATAGAATATAATTTAGATTGAAAAAAAAAAAGGAACACCAACAAATTACCGATAAGAAGAACAGAAATGTGATATTACGTTCGAAAAGAGAGTCGAGAATCATACGTTTATTCGAAATTATAACTTATCTGATAAAAACGATACTCGTTAAAAGCAATCAGCGCGATAATGCATTTCTCGGGAAATGTACATACGTTTATCAGTTAAATACGTAGTTTTTCCTTCTTTTTTTTTTTTTTTTTTTTTTGTTCAATGAACAAAAAATCTCAATCGATGCTTTTTGAATTATCCCATCGAAAGATATCGAAGTAAATACGACACGTGTAAACGGACACGTGTATATTTTTTTCTTTTTTTTTTTAACAAATATATCAAACGATAAAAAACAAACGCAGATCACAAATCTACGTTTAAATTTCGAAACGAGCATTCAACTTCATTCAATTCAACAAAATCAGTGGAATTTACAATAGGCGTGTAATTTAAATCATTATTTGATAAAGATTCCTTTGTCAAATTCTCTATCCTTTCAATTATTATAATTAGACTATCTCCTTGAAGTTAAAATATACCATTGCCTTTCCTTCCTCCTTTTTTCTTTATATAAAAAAAAAAAAAAAAAAAAAAATTACACCTGATTCTAGAAATCCCTGAAAAGATCACTGCGAACAGCTTTTTCCCAACTTGCCTCTCAAAGGTTAAAAACAAACGCGTGGAATATTTCTTCGAAAAATAGAGAAGAAGTTTCGAGCAAAGAGGACTAATTAACCCAATCTTCCAACCTAAGTTTTCCTTCGTGATCGAAGGAAAACTTTTTTTTTTCCTCCCATAATAACGGTAACGTAATCGAAAATTTTCCTCCAATTTAAATCCTCGCGGCTCGCTGCCTCGAAAGATTACATCAACGATGGAAAGAGAGAGAGAGAGAAAAAAAGGAAAGGGAGAAAGGAAAGAAAGAGAGAGAGAGAGATGAAAAAAAAGGGTGAAATGAGAAAGGGTTCGTTAACAGGCGTGTATATACGTATATATTTTAGAGAGAATTCCGCGAGATTTCTCGTAATTTATAGTTGCACCGTCCGGGGTATCGTTTATCTAAATATAGATAAGGCTTATTCTCTTTCTCTCTCTCTCCCTCTCTTTCCCTCTCGGTGCGCAAAGTCGTGCGGCGCGAAATTCACGGAGGAACGCGACATAATAAGGCCGGAGGTGCATGTGCGAGGCCAGTGTAGCCAACCACAAAATGTCTCGAGACCCTTCGAAACGTTTCGAGCCCAGGTAAGGAACAATTCGTGAATCCGCTTCAACTTCAATAATATTTATATTATTTTTCTTCTTTCTTGGAAGAAGAAGGTAAAAAAATTTTCGCCAATTTCAAACTCGACTTCATTTCGCGTCTCAGAGCTTTAAAACTTGGATTTCTTTCGAGGATTCTAAAAATCGAAACGAAAGTAAAAATATTTTTATTACGCGAAAATAATCGATACTTGTTTATTTATCGAGTTACGAGTTGAATTTTGTATCGTAACATTGAACACGAATAGAAGAATAATACGTCTTCGTTCTACTTGCTCGAAACTGATATTTTTATATTCGACCGTGTTCCACGAGTACACCGCGAATTCTTCTTCCCCCGTATCGCGAAAATCTGAAAATCCACCATTTTACCGATCGATCCCTGTGAATACGAGGTGTGCGAAAAAATGCGAGGCACGAAACGAAACGCGTTTTAAACCGCGTTATTATACGTTTAAATAAATTCCCGTCGAAAGTTAAGGCAAAAAAAAAAAAAAACTTCGATTCGAATTGAAATTCGATTTCGAATGGAAAGAACAT